TGAGCAGGGAGCCCGATGTGGGGCTCGATCCCAGGACCCCAGGATCGTGACCTGAGCCGAAGGCAGACGCTTAACGACTGAGCCACCCAGGCGCCCCAGGGATCATTAGCTTTAAATAGTCCCCCCCACCCACCCCATAGTATGTGGGCTACCTGGAGCCTCCTAGCACCTGGAGCACTCACCTGACACCTGCAGACACCACCCGACAGGGAGCAAATGGGGTGTGAGCAGGGAGGAGGAAGGACGTTCATCTCGTGACATCATGGCGCCTCCTGTCCCGGCCTCCTGACCTGGCCTGTGCACTCTGTTTCTGGCTGGCGCTCTGCAGGGTGTCCATTTTCTCAGGCTGCTCAGATTTTCCACCCCTCATGTGGGAACATCTCTGTAAGAGAGCCTCCCTGCCTTTCTCTGGAATGTGTTGTGGTTAGCAGCTTCATGCCCAGGAGGTGAACGAGGGCCCCAGGCTGCTGTCTGAGTTGTGGGGTTTGCTCTTCCAGCTCGTCCCTCCTGCCAGGCCACAGGCTGCCACCTCTGGCCGTTAGCAGTGGTCCCCAGCTGCCCCTTTCCCCTGTCCAGTTTCTACTGTGGACAGTCTGTTTTGGACCTGAAAACCAGATAGCTAGCCAAGCTTATTAACATCCTGGGTAAAATCACAAGGAATAAGCTCTGCATTGGGGTTTACGAAGGGTGGTCTGGATCAGCAAGAGGCCCTGGATGAATAAGGCAGTATTTGTTTTCATGGTATAATCGAGTGAGCTTCAAAAGCTTGGCCGTCCACTCTTGAACACAGGGTGCTGAAAGTCCCGAGTTCATTAGGAAAAGCCCTGGCCCCATGTCAGGGTTGCCGGCTCGTGTGCTTGACGACAGACACGATGAAAAGCGCGGGTCCCCTCCTGCCCAGCACTCTCACTGTCTTGCGGTGAACAGCTTCACGTCCTGAGTGCAGTTGTCTGTCCACACTGACAGCCAGTGAACAGGGACGGCATGTGTCCGCCACCGAGAGAGCCCCACAGGCAGCCGTTGGGCTGTCCGACCCTGGCCTGGCACTGGGCGGACAGAATCCCACCCCAAAGACACAGGGGCCCACAGATAAGATTTCAGCAGAGGAAAGAGTTCCCACTTGGCCACAGATTATAGAAGGGCCCAAAACGGAAAGAGCCTGGGGCTCGGGGAGGAGTTTGAACAGTGCTCAGACGGGTCACACCCTCCTGTGAGGGAAGAAAGGGCCTCTTTCACGGGAGAACCCGCAGCTCTGCTTAGGGTCACCCCCCGCCCCCCTGCGATGGCCTCAGGTTTGTTCTTAGAAAATAAAGATGGAAAGTCTTTGTTGACGTCTATAAATGATTGAATGATTGGCTCCCAGCTACAAAGCATGTTCGATCTCGTGGTTGGGGCGGGGGGGGGCCTGGAGGTGAGGCCGCGAGCGGCGGGTGGAAGGCACGGCTCTGCAGCCAAGGTCACGGGCGTATTTCCTGCCGTGTTACTAATTGTTCTCCTTTCCCCTTTCCCCCAAGGCAAGAATGTTGTCCATCAGTTGTCTGTAACTCTTGAAGATTTATATAATGGAGTCACAAAGAAGTTGGCCCTCCAGAAAAATGTAATTTGTGAGAAATGTGAAGGTAAAAATGAATGTTTGAATGAGTCCCATAGTTGTGACCCCTTAGATCTGGAAACAGTTCTGATTGTTTTATAATTCAGAGAAAAATCATTTTTTATCTTTTCGAATGTAAGGGTCCCAACAGACAGCAAACTGGTGGCCTAAGGGCCAAATCGGTTTTAGTTTGCCCTGTACCGTTTTTATTTTGACTGACATTTCATGTTGATAATTATTTTAAACATGTAAATGTCAAGATGGTTCACCCATCTTAGGGGTCAGCAAACTTTTCCTGCAAAAGGGCCAGACAGGAAGTGTTTCAGGTCCCCGGCAGCCCTGGGCATAAGCGGGCAGACGAGCCCGTGTTCCCGTGAAGCTGGTCTGGTCTGCTGCCCCTTGACTCACACATAAATGTAACTAACACAATTTTTAAGATAGGATTTTTCAAGAAAAGTCGTGTCTGGTGGCCTCGGACGCACGTTGTCCTGAGGTGGCCGAGCGGGGCCGCCGCCCTCCAGGCCTCTCAGCCCAGCCCCCTTGGTCACCTGTGGGCACAGCTGGTGAGGCTCACGAAGTGAATCTGGCCGGGCACGGCCAAAGCCACGGACCCCAGACCCGTGAGCTCACATGTTAACATGTTCCTTGCTCGCTTGGAATCATCCAGGCTCTGTACATTGCTGCCCACGGTTGTAAACACCCGTGTCCCGCCTAGGGGCCCCGACTGCCCTCCCTGGCGCCTGGGGGGACAGGCCGTTGGCACAGGAGCCAGCTCTCACTCCGTGCCTCCCCCCAGGCGTCGGTGGGAAGAAGGGGTCTGTGGAGAAGTGTCCCCTGTGCAAGGGCCGCGGGATGCAGATCCACATCCAGCAGATAGGGCCGGGCGTGGTGCAGCAGATCCAGACCGTGTGCATCGAGTGCAAGGGCCAGGGGGAGCGCATCAGCCCCAAGGACCGCTGCGACAGCTGCAGTGGCACCAAGGTGATCCGCGAGAAGAAGATTATCGAGGTGCACGTGGAAAAAGGTGAGGCCGCACAGCTTGGCGCTCCAAGCCGCCGACCGTGGGGCGCGCAGGCCAGGTGTCTGGGACCTGTCGGGGGCGGGGCCCGGTGCCCCCAGCCTGCCCTCCCGGCTTCACTGCCGTTCGCACCTCCAGCGACAGCTTACCTGCCGCGGGCTGCACCTGCGAGAGGTGCGTGACCTTGATTTTGGGTAACTGCCCTCCCCCCTTCTCTAACCATTCCCTTGTAATCACTGGGCGTCTTCCTCCTGACCGCCTCGCCTGCTCACTGGCCCTAGAGCTCTTGCGGTCTCTGCGGCTGCGGGCCCCTCCCCGCCGCACGGGCCCCTCTCCCTGTGCACCCGGCCCTTCTCCCCTGCACGGGCCCCTCCCCGCTACTGGGCCCCTCCTCTCTGCCCCGGCCCCCTCTCCGCTACACCGGCCCCTCCCCGCTGCACAGGCCCCGCCCCTCTGCAGGGCCCCTCCCCTCTGCAGGGCCCCTCCCCGCTGCACCGGCCCCTCCCCCGTGCACCCGGCCCCTCCCCCCTGCACGAGCCCCTCCCCGCTACTGGGCCTCTCCTCTCTGCCCCGGCCTCCTCCTCGCTGCACAGGCCCCTCCCTTCTGCACCCGGCTCTTCCCCGCTGCACCGGCCCCTCCCCGTGCAGGGCCCCTCTCCGCTACACCGGCCCCTCCCCACTGCAAGACCCCGCCCCTCGGCCGGGCCCCTCCTCTCCAGGGCCCCTCCCCGCTGCACAGGCCCCTCCCCCCTGCACCCGGCCCCTCCCTGCTGCACCGGCCCCTTCCCGTGCAGGGCTCCTCTCCGCTATACCGGCCCCTCCCCGCTGCAGGGCCCCTCCTCTCCAGGGCCCCTCCCCCGTGCACTCGGCCCCTCCCCCCGTGCACTCGGCCCCTCCCCCCGTGCACCCGGCCCCTCTCCCCGCGCACCCGGCCCCTCCCTCACGCACCAGGCCCCTCCCCACTGCAGGGCCCCTCCCCACTGCAGGGCCCCTCCCCGCTGCCCCGGCCCCCTCCCCGCTGCACTGGGCCCCTCCCTGCTGCACGGGCCCCTCCCCGCTGCCCAGATTCTCCCAGGTACGGCCCTCCCCTCATTTGTATACCAAAGTATACAAATCAACACCCAAAAGGGCGCCCTTAAAGGATGTCTGTTGAAGCATCGGTGACTGTGCGCGCCGCCAGAGCCATGCCCCGTGCGTGCAGCAGGAAGCGGGTGGTGACCGCGGGCGTGCAGTGGCGGGTGTGCGGGGACGGCGTGGCCTCTCTCGTGGCAATCCCAGCCACTGCTCTGGTTCCCGTGGCCACGAGGTTGGGAGGTTTGATGAGTAAAAGCTTCCAAAGGAGTGCGTGCGGTGTTCACAGCTTTGTAGAAAGTACGGTTTTTAAGAGAGATGCTAATCAGAAAGGATGATGTCTCATAGGTATGAAAGATGGGCAAAAGATACTGTTTCATGGAGAAGGAGATCAGGAGCCTGAGCTGGAGCCTGGCGATGTCATAATTGTGCTTGATCAGAAGGATCATAGTGTCTTTCAGAGACGAGGCCACGACTTGATCATGAAAATGAAAATTCAGCTTTCTGAAGCCCTCTGTGGCTTCAAGAAGACGATAAAAACGCTGGACGATCGAGTTCTCGTCATCACATCCAAGTCGGGTAACGTTTCCGCGTTGACTGTTGTGCTGGGTGGGTGCTGCGAGCCGGGGCTTAGCACCACTTCCTTTTCTCCCAAGTTCAAAGTCTTTGCTAACGACTGGAGAGTTTTATGATAAATGTTTAAATATTCTCCGAGGGAAAAAGAATTCAGAGTCGGGGGAAGAGCCTCCAACAGGAATCTTGGGGTCGAGCACCATAACTTAAACTGTAAAATCCTAGTTTGGTGAGAAAAGAGCGGTAACAGGCGGTGGTGGTCTGTCACCTGCATGCTTCTCCAGCTTCGGTGCTGCCAACGACGCGTGGGGGACACTGTGAAGTCCCGTTTTCCCGAGAAGACCTTGCCCGTCAGCTTAGCCTCAGCTGCTCGCAGGGACCCGCCCGTCTGCACACACGCGCGGGTGGGGGCAGCACCTGAGGGCCGCGAGGGCCTCCAGGGCCTGAGCACCCCGCACCCCTGCGGGCAGCAGAGCGCCTGCCGGGAAGGCCGGAGGAAGGCCGACTGGCGAAGGGAGGGGCCGGGCCGGGGGCCTGACCTGAAGCCGCCTCTGGTAACATGAAGGTCACTCGTCCGTGTCCGCGCGTCTGGGCAGGGGCGGTGGTGGCTGACGCGCTGGCCGGGAGCAGAGCTGCTCTGGTCCCCTCACCACCACCGGGGCATCTGTCGGGGCTGGGGTGGGACGTGAGCCGCCTGTCCAAGGGCACCTGCGGCCGGCGAGCTGAGCGGACCCCAGAGCCGCCTGGCCTCCGCACTTGCTTCCCTCCTGTGGCCTTGTTCTGTTTCTCTGCCGCTTCTCTCTCTCTGCACGGTTTTCTCCTTCTCTGGACATAAAAGGATATGGATTCTACATCCAAGCCTTTCTGATAAAAACTTGTAAAAATAAACACAGTACCAGGATCCCCATATGTGATTTGCCCATTGTTGGGGCGCTGCAGTGTAACACTCGCGTGAAACTGTGAGACACGACCCCTCCCCAGGCCCCCAGTTCCTCCCCTACTTGAGTGGAGAACTTTGGGGATGGCAGGTCTCGAGCAGGTGTGAGTTCGGGGCCTGCTCTTGTGGCCCCTGCCCTGATTGTGGCCCTGAGGGCGTCGTGGGGAGCTTTGGGAGGGCTCTTCCTCCCTGGCCATGGCTGGTGGGCGGCTGGGCTCCCAGCGTCCTGCTGCGCTCAGGCAAGCGCCCCATTGGTGACCTGGGGCAGAGGAGAGACCCCGTTCCTCGCGTCGTGACGGGGAAGGGCCAGGGCTTCAGAGACCCTTCTGCTGGAGACTTCTCTTGTTCTTTTTGCTCATTTATGTTTCTCTGTGTCCTGTCCTTTTCCTTTATCCTGCCTTTTCTCGTTTGGGCTTCTTTCTCATTCCTTTCCTGCTGCTGTCTCCTCTTTCTGCTGTCAGGGTGCGGAGACTCAGGGTCGGTGGGGAGGGTGCCCTGGCAGCTGGTCGGGGGCCCTCCGCGTGTGGCTTCCCAGCCCCCAGTCAGTCAGAGGCAGAAGCATGAGGGGTAGGAACGGAGACAGGAGAACTTTCCAACACATAGGACGGCTGAAGGCCCCACGCTCCTGCACGACCCCAGCGAGGGTCCTCAGTGCTTCCCCCTGACGAGACTGCAGCGGGGCTTGCCGTCCCTCCCCGCCCTTACTCTTTCTGCACGCTTACTCGCTTCTCTGTGCGTTTTCATTGCTGAGCTGAAGAGCTTATTTCTGGAGAGACCCTTGTGCCCTTTCTTCTTTATGTTGGGGGGAGATGGTATCTTTAGACGTGGCCAGAACCCTGGAGCTCTGGGGCCTAAACCCCGTGATGCCTTTTGAAAGTGCGTCGTGGGAGACCCCGGAGTGTGGGCTGGACCGCTTCCAGCTCCCAGACCCCAGTGTTTCGGATTCCTGGTTCGTTTTTTACACCACTGTGCTTTGTGCCGGAGGCCCCGACATGCTGCCCCAGGCATGCCCCCCCTCCCCCGAGCCTGGGCAGGGTCTGCCGCCAGGCCACCCCCGTCTTCCTGCTCCGTAACCGAACCTTCTCTGCGGCAGGCGAGGTGATAAAGCATGGTGACCTGAGGTGTGTGCGTAACGAAGGGATGCCCATCTACAAAGCACCCCTGGAGAAGGGGACTCTGATCATCCAGTTTCTAGTAAGTTCCTGACTGTTGTGGCTGCGGGCGGGGTCAGGGCGCGCCTCCGTGGGAGGGGCAGCCGCTACCGATGCTCTTGGCCGACGTTCCTCGCCCTCCACAGGTCGTCTTTCCAGAGAAACACTGGCTTCCTCAAGACAAGCTTGCGCAGCTGGAGGCCCTGCTGCCCCCGCGGCAGCAGGTGAGGGTCACGGACGACATGGACCAGGTGGAGCTGAAGGAGTTCAACCCCAGCGAGCAGAACTGGCGGCAGCAGCGGGAGGCCTACGAGGAGGAGGACGACGACGGGCCGCGGGCCGGGGTGCAGTGTCAGACGGCGTGAGCGGCCGGGGGACTAGCGCGCCCCGAGTGTAACGTTGGCACAGTGAAAATGCATCGCCCAATGGCCTCGTGTCTGGCGCGTCCTGTGTATGTGTTCAGCCCTCTCAGTTGCCGAGCGTCGTCTTGGTTTTTCTTTTGTTTTTCTTTTGGTTGTGACTTAAGTTATAGCTTAATTTATATTTAAATGTTTCAAGTGTAAATCATCTGCAGTCTGCATATGCGATCTGTTCATTTACGTTTTCAGGACATGTTTGAGAGGCCCGTGACCGCACTGACACTTGCTTTTGGGGGCTTGGCCGGGTCGGCGGCCAGTGCGGCCCCTCGCAGGGCGCTGGGCACCGCCTGCGGGCGCAGCTCCCCTGCCCCCGCCCCTCCCGGGGCTGCTGAATCCAGACTCTAGGTGACGCTCCTCCAGGCAAAAGCACATCTGTGGCCTGGGCTGGGCCCCAGGGCCTGGTCCATGCAGGGCTGCTGCTCTGGGGCTGTAGCGGGTGCATGAGCATCTCTCGGAAGCTTCCGGAAGCTTCCCGGCCTGGTGGTGAGGACAAACCAGTGCTCTGAACGCAGCGCCGACGTAACGGTTTGCCTGGGGCCCCGCACCTTGTTGCTTGTGGTTGTGATGATTTTCTCTTGGCAGTCTTTGCGACACTCTTCTACCGAAGTGCTTACCATAAAGGACATCCCATGGGCCACGGAGCCTCCGGGCTGCGGCTCAGGCCGCAGGAGCGGCAGCCTGGCTAGGGGGGCAGACGTCCGTCCGCACCCCCTCCCAGAGATGTCTCCTCCAGCTGCCCGGCCATGGGACGCGGGGCCTCCTGCTCAGGACGCGGTTCTGGCGAGAAGCGCGCTGCCCGGGCTCTGCTGGGCACAGTGGCGAGGGCCGCCTGCCCGGAGGGACAGTTCTCCACTGCTTCACTCCCAGCGGGCGGCCCTCCCCTGGTTCTGCGGAAGCGGACAGTCTGACGCAGACCGGGGGCCGCCGCAGGAGGGCGGAGGGGCCCATGAGGCCCCCCCAGTCGGGGTGCGCCGGCTTGGGGGGGACCGGGCTCCAGCAGGACCCATGCGGGCGGGTGCCACTTGCTCAGAATAGCGCCCGCTCTGACCATTGGTCAGGACCGATCTAAAACCTACTCTTCCAACCCAGCCTGTGTGAAAACCCATGTACAAATGGACCACAACTCCAGGGAGTCCCGTCCGTGCTGCGACTTCCTGATTAGCACCACAGAGCTACTGCTGATGGGGGTCTCCGTTCAGCTCCAGATTCCTGGGCATGGAGATAGGACGTGGAGGGTGTTCCTTCAAACTCACTCCACCTGTACATCTGTCCTTTCGAAATCAAACCCGAGCTGGGATGAGAGACAAACGGCTCTGGTTGTTTACATTTTCTCCAGCCCCACCGAGGGCGTTAAGTGCCAGCCTGCCTCACACTGGTGGACGGGAGCTGGTACCTGGGGTGGGGGTGAGTGCTGACGCTGGGGGGAGGAAACGTCCACGGCTCTGGTTACAGGAGGGCCACCGAGGCCAAGAGGCAGGAGAGGGGCGCGGGCTTCATCCTGAGGGCGATGGGTTTGGGGGACAAACGTGCGACCTCACAGGCATATGAAGTCGTTAATAAAAAGCAACAAGCTTCAGAGTGTGAACCATTTCCACACAGGCCCCACTGAAGGGGTAACGGAGGTGGGGCTGGAGACTGTGGATGCCGTGGAGGCAGCCTCTTCCACTGCAGGCCACACCCCTGCCTGAACTCAAGTCGGGTGCGGCAGGTGAGGTCTTCAGGGTATCAAATAGACACCCAGATAGGCAGGACTCCAGAACATTCCCACCTGGGGAAATACCCTGTTCCCTTCAGGACCCCATTCTGAAACCGAGAGCTGCTTCGTCCCGTCTGTGGGGCTCAACCCTCTGGAGAGCCAGCCTGCACTTCTCAGCTGGGAGGTTCGGTGACTGCCCGGATCGCATCATCTCTGGGGCAGGTACTCCTCCCACTCTCCCACCCACAACAGGGCAGCTGAAAAAGCCCATTCATGAACACGGTGTTGGTGTTATAAACACTTTATGTTCAAGTATGAACAGCATTTCCAATAACAGAACATGAAAAGATTGATCCTGTATCTACAAAATTTGTTTTTGCTCCAATAAATGCTAGAAAGGCAAGGAATGTTGTGATCTACACACCAGCCTGCGAGACTCTGGTGTTTACACGGGGCAATCGTAGACGTGGATTTCCTGGTCATCGCCCACGGACACAATTTTTGAGCCATTTCCATTGTATTTTACTCCCCAGACCTGTAAATCAAAAATAAAGTTCTAATGACTTTATTGTTTATGAACAAACATCCTTTTGTATTCTCACTATACTGAATCTAGAAAACCAGTGAGACGGCTGTTGTGGTGCTTTCTGAGCCAGCGGGAAGGGGGCCCTTGTCCTTAACCAGGCACTTGCATTGCTACTGTTTATCACTCCCTCACCTCCCATACTCTGTAAACCTTCTGGAGTCTCGGAATCTGGGGAGTGACTGCATGCCATGAAGCTGGCATCTGCAGGGGACCAGCATGGGCTGTCACTCACGTCTCCAGAAAGAAGGCCCACCACTACCCAGGGGCGTCACCTCACTCCTGTGCCCTGCCCCCAGCCCGTGATCCTCCGTCTGTTCCCGGAGGCCTCTGGAGCCTGCCCGTCCCCGGAGCTGGACCAGCAGGCAGCATGGGGCACTGGTTTGACTTGCTGTGTTAAACCAGCAGTCACACCTTCCTGACAAAACTGCTGTGGCTGGAGTTTGGGTCAGCCTGTCACTGACTCTGAGTGGGGGTGCCAGCCGAGTCCAGTGTCGTCACGGGGTGGACCGATGACCTCCCTTCCACCCAAACAACCCTTCTGAGATGGCAGCATGCTCTGAGCCCCACGTGCAGGGAAACAAGCTGGCAGGGAGGATTTACTCTCACAGTGAAACGTTAAGTCCAGAGGTGCAATATCAAGATGAAATCCCCCCAACTTCATTAGCAATGATTTAGGACTAGATGTGAAAGAGCATGAACAATTATGTTAACTAAGCTGCATTCCAAAGAGGAGACCATCAGGGCGCCCGGCTGGCTCAGTCAGTAGAACGTGTGACTCTTGATCTTGGGGTTGTGAGTTCAAGCCCCATGTTGGACGTACATACCGATTACTTAAACAACAAAAATAAGACAAAATGAAAAAAAAAAACCCAGGATTTTCATAGAAACATTAAAAGTACATTAAAAGCCAGCTTTTTACTGCCATGGGCATTTTATCTAAAGTGACTAGTTTCCTGAGACTTGCTACTCAAAGTGGTGGGACCAGCAGCATGGACCTCACCTGCAGCTGCTTAGAAATGCAGGAGCCCAGGCCCCGTGCGGACTGACTGAATGGACCCCTTCCTTTCACTGGAGCCCCGGGGGTCCCTGGGCACAGTACGGATGCCCTGGTTCCTTTCACATCCACACTGGCAAAGACAAAAAGGCTCCTGGGAGAATAGAGCCCCCTCCTCCCCCATTTAAAGACTGAAGCAAAAGTTACCAATGTCGCTAAAACCCAAACCACCTGTAAGAATTTATGGCTTCAGTTATGTTATTAAAAAAAAAAAATCACATCACTTTTGTGGACAGCTCCAAAAATGGCAAGTGCTGTGTGTTTGAGCAATGGGCACTTTAAGATTTTTTTTAGAACTATTTGAGAGCGAGCGCACGCGTATGAGCTGGGGGGGTGGGAGAGGGAGAAGCAGGCTTCCCGCTGAGCCTGACGTGGGGCTTGATCCCAGGACCCTGAGATTGTGACCTGAGCTGAAGTCAGACGCTCAACTGACTGAGCCACCCAGGCACCCCAGGGCAATGGGCACTCCTGAGGAAGGCCCTTCCGAGCCAGCCATGGCAGGCTGCACCGGGAAAAGTGCTCCCAGCACGCCCCGGGCACCAGGGCATTTTCCAAAGGCACTGAACGGCCGTGAGGCTAGTGCTGTGTGTCCTGACCCTCAAAGGGACATCACACCTCACGGCTCGCCAGGCTGACCGCGCAGACGGTGTGTGGGATGCTGGCTGATGGACACCCATGCAGGGAGAGCAGCCCAGCAGCAGGTCAGAACAGGGACAGGTGTCGCTGGTGCTCAGACAAGGAACGCGAATGTGAACTCTGCCGTACCTGATCCTGGTGGTCGAAGAAGGTGTGGACACACGTTCTCGTGCCAACATCCCAAACTTTCACACTTTTGTCAGATGAACTATGTGCAAAAGGGAACATTAGTATCAAAACAGTTTGCATTCTGGTTTTAAGTCAGAAGGAATCAGACCAGGAACTCCACCCTCCTTGACTCACCTACACTCTGCCCACCAGTGTGCACCGTGACCAGCACGGGCTCCAGGGGGCTCCGGGTGCTGGCCTCCCTGGTGGATTTTCCTGCACACAGAGCGGCCACTTCCCTCAAGTTCTCATCTGCCCAGCCCTCATCCCAGGGTTCCCACCAGGAGTCTCAGACACATGTGCCTGTTTCCAGGTCGGAGGGGACCTGTTAAAGTCTCTGTGAAGCCGCTTCTGAATGAAGAGGCTTCTGGAACTCTGTGCAATGCTAGGAAGCTGGCTGTCCTCGGCCTGAGTGACACTGGGATCCAAAGGCACAACATGTGCGCACAGCTTTACACAGTTTAAGTTACTACTGGAACACAGGGATCCCAAAAGTCACTACATGTGGAAGCCTAGATTTATAAGGAAAAACGAAAACTTGAACTGTTCCGAAGAATCCACCTTTGTTCCAGCGAAGGACAACTACCTGCATAACTTAAAAAAAAAAACCAACAACCCACAAAACCAATGCAGAAAACAAAGTCTACCTGAATAAAAAGGGTCAGACCATCTTCAAATCTTAAGGCAATGCATAAAAGACAATCTTCATCTTCTTAGCATTTAAGAAACTGCTAAGAATCATACGTACCTGGAAACGAAGTGAGTGTCGTCGGGACAAAAGGCAACGTTCAGCACCCACGATGCGTGGCCGCTCAGCGTGCCGGCCAGATTGGCGTGTTGTCTGAAACGGGAAAGTGTCAAACAAACTGGAGACGAAACAAAGTCTTACAGGAACACGAGCACAAAATGTGTGGCTTTCCCCCATGGCAGAGAGTAGGATGCCAGCAAGACAATCCCTAAGATGGGGAGACAGAAGCAGGGGCAAGCCGGCCACCTCAGGACAGTGGCGGGCTCCGAGCCCACCAGCACGCCAGCGCCCTTTCCACACAGGCCGGTGCCTCCTGTCCCGGGAGCCGCCAGGGTTCACTCTCCGTAACAGATGTGGCTTGGACAGACCATGTTTAATCGAACCAAGAACAAGATGGGTCTAATTACGAAAGCCATTTTTACTTTCAAATAAGTGAAATCCAAGCAGCAAAGGCCTGAGGAGAACAATCCCGAGGCCTGACGGAGGTTCGGTGACCCCAGGAGCAGAGCAGATTGCAGGCGGGTCGGAGGATGTGTGGCCTCAGAGGAACCCGCCTCTGCCCTCCGGGGACACCAGTCACCCGCAGTCGGGAGGCAGGCGGAACCACAGCCACGAAGGCCTTGTGCAGAGAGTCGGGCACTGAGGCATCGGCCACGGCTGACTGTGGCCCTGGGACTGACGAGCCAGCACAGCTGGGCAGAGGCTTCCCTCCTGAGCCCGCTCCCCTGCCCTGAACACAACCTCCTGTCCTCAGTGTCCCTGCTCCCAGCGCAGGCTCCGGGAAAGCCCGCACAGGCCCACACGAGGGCACGCACACAGACGGTCAGGACCGGGGCAGGTGGACGCAGATAAGCGTGCCGTGTGCACCCAGGGCACCAGAAGGCCACATTGGGAAGCCGTGAGCCAGAGCCACAGACCGCAGTACTGAGTCAAAGGGTCAAGGACACCAATCAATCCCCTTCCAGGGGAGGCTTGAGGGGGAAGCCCAGAAGGAAGGGGCCTCACACAGGCTTACAACCAAAGGCAGCCGTGACCTGAAGAGAATGACCCTCACTCCCACACCTGCGGTCAAAACCACCCACAAAAAGGCTCCTTCATCTAGACCTGCAGCGAGCTGGTGGATAAACCGACAGCCCCCTTGGCAGGGCGGAGGAGAGCTTGCTGGATGTCCACGTTTTTGCCATCACTCTGGGCCAGCGACCGCCAGTGGTTCTGCCTCCTCCTCCGTACATGACTGACTAACCTGAAGGAACTTAAAATCCGTGAGCCCTACAAGAGACGGGATGACTGCAAACAGGAAGGAAGTACTGATCCTAGCAGGCAGCCCGTGACATTCGAAGTTCAAGGACAGGGGTGTGGACGGGGGAGCAATGCCTGGACCCTGCACACGAGTCCCTGCCCGACCCAGGACTCCTCCAAGCAGCGGGAGACAGGAAGGGCACTGGTCCCGGGCGAGAACCCTTGAGTCGGCACGATAACTTACACATCATAGATCTTGATGTAGCCATCATCTGAAGCAGTGACAAGGAGCTGGGAATCCGGGGAGAAGGTCAGGGAGCGGATGGGCATAGCGTGGCCTGAAATTCACAAAGGCCCTTGTTAATCTGGCAAATCACGGGCTCCCCACTGATGGAGTCCCTGGTAATGACCACTATCACTGATGCTTCTGTCAGGGCAGGGAATGACTGCATGGACCCCTCCTCCCAGTGTTCTAGAAACATCCACATAACCCAGGCCCCTCCAGGAGCCATTTCTCCTCGGTTCCCTTCCCCCACCAGCTGGACCTCAGCACATGAGGCTTGGGAAAAACTCCTCTGCTACAGACATGGACACACGAAGAAATACACTCTGATCTGTACAGATGAACAGGGTGCCGTTCCCCACCAAATCCTGTGCTGTAGGGTAAGTGATACAAACTAAGGAGGCAATGTATTCACTTGGTCAGAATTCAAACTAGTAGGAAAAGCAGAGTGGAAGACTCCCTCCCACCCACACCCCGAGGCTGCGGGCGCAGGGGGCGGGCACAGTGCTGTCATCCACCTTCAACTTCTTGACAAAAAGTCATTTCCTAATCACAAAGTTCTGTAGAGCCAAACAGGACAGAAACGAAACACTCATATGGCTGAGATACATTAACACATAAAAAGGTAAGCCCGTTCACCAAAATAAGCACTTAGCACTGGAACCAGAACCAGCACATCCAGGTTGTAACTAGACGACAAAACCAAGACTTGGAGGCATTTCAGATTTCTAACGAGATCACTATTTTGCAAATCTAAAGCTCATCTGTCATTTAGTAGCATTTTAATAAAAGACCGATTCGTCCTTTGTGATCTGATAACTTAGTCTGCACAAAATAAAATGAGCCATACCTTCCAGCGTGTGCAGGAGTTTTCCAGTTGCAATATCAAAAATATTGATGATCCCGTCTATGGCTCCACTGGCCAGATACTTCCCATCAGGGCTCTGTGCAGAGAACATGCGGAGGACATCTGAGACTCCATATGGTTAGGCCGTCCCCACCAAACACGCAGCGCTCCTGCTCGCTGCAGGCCCCGGCAAGCCAGACAGCGGCTGCCCGCTTGGAGCCCTGCCACGGGCGGGAAGTGCACATTGCGGAGTTGGGGAGAGAAACGAGAGCAATGTCTCCTTACATATGCAATACTAAGAATGAATTTTCCTCTTGTGTCCAAAGAATATTCCTTTTTCCCACTTTCCACACCAAAAATGTTCACTTTCCCCACATGAGTTCCTGTGGCCAGATACTGGGAATCAGGAGAAAAGGCCAAAGTCCAGGCATCCACTGAACAGGAGAAAAAGAAGGAAAAAAAAATACAGTGAGAAAAGGTGTGACCTTAATTTTTAAGACTTTTAAAGTTTTATCAAAAGGTAAGTTTTTAAAAATTAGAAACAATGTCCTGATTCAAAAACCTATGAGTTGAGATGCTAATTCTTTACCAATTTAGCTTAAGGGCTTCTTAAATTTTTAATAAAAATAGGACAATACCAAGTGTTAACAAGGATGTGGAGAAACCAAAATCCTCACATACTGGTGGGAACATAAAATGGTGCAGCCACTCTGAAAAATAGTTAAAGTTTCTTTTCTCTCTTTTAAAATTTTAATCACCTGGCACTCATCAGGATACGTGTTCTCCTTCATCCCCATCATCTGTTGCCCCCAACCCCCATCACCTCCCCTGGTGACCAGCAGTGTGTTCTCTGTAGTTGAGAATCTGTTTCTTGGTTTGCCTGTTTCTTTTCTTCCCCCCTTTGCTCGTTTGCTTTGTTTCTTAAATTCCACATATCAATGAGATCATATGATAATTGTCTTTCTCTGATTGACTTAACTCACTTAGCATAACACTCTCTAGTTCCATTCCCACCGATGTAAATGCTAAGTATTCATCCTTTCTGATGGCTGCGTAGTATTTCATTGTATATATGGACCACATCTTCTTTATCCATTCATCTGTCGATGGACATCTGGGCTCTTTCCATAGTTTGGCTATTGTGGACATTGCTGCTATGAACATTGGGGTGCAGGTGCCCCTTCTTTTCGCTACATTTGTATCTTTGTGGTAAATATCCAGTAGTGCAATTGCTGGGTTGTAGGATAGCTCTATTTTCAACTTCTTGAGGAACCTCCATACTGTTTTCCAGAGCGGCTGCCCCAGCTTGCATTCCCACCAACAGTGTAGGAGGGGTTCCCCTTTCTCCACATCCTTGCCAACATCTGTCATTTCCTGAGTTGTTAATTTTGGCCGTTCTGACTGGGTGTGAGGTGGTATCTCATTGAGGTTTTGATTTGGATTTCCCTGATGCCGAGTGATGTTGAGCATTTTTTCACGTGTCTACTGGCCATTTGGATGTCTTCTTTGGAAAAATGTCTGTTCATGTCTTCTGCCCATTTCTTGATTGGATTATCTGTTCTTTGGGTGTTTTGGTAAGTTCTTTACATATTTTGGATACTAGCCCTTTATCTGGTAAGAAATTTGCATATACTTCTCCTATTGTGTAGGTTGTCTTTTGGGTTTGTCAACTGTTTTCCTTTGCTGTGGGAATGAATGGGAATGTGTTATGAAGTCCCAATAGTTCACTTTTGTTTTTGTTTCCCTTGCCTTTAGAGATGTATTTATAAGAAGTTGCTGCAGCTGAGGTCAAAGAGGTTTCTGCCTATGTTCTCTAGATTCCAGTCTCACATTTACGTCTTTCATCCATTTTGAGTCTATTTTTGTGTGTGGTGTAAGAAAGTGGTCCAGTTTCATTCTTCTGTATATAGCTGTCCCATTTTCCCAACACCATTTGTTAAAGACACTGTCTTTTTTTTCCATTGGATTTTCTTTCCTGCTTTGTCAAAGACGAGTTGACCATAGAGGTGAGGGTCCATCTCTGGGTTCTCTGTTCTGTTCCATTGATCTGTGTGTCTGTTTTTGTGCCAGTACCAGACTGTCTTGATGATGACAGCTTTGTAATAGAGCTGGAAGTCCGGAATTGTGATGTCACCAGTTTTGGTTTTCTTTTTCAACATTTCTTTGGCTATTTGGGGTCTTTTCTGGTTCCATACAAATTTTAGGATGATTTGTTCCAGCTCTGTGAAGAATGCTGATGGTATTTTGATAGGGATGGCATTGAAAGTGTAGATTGCTCTGGGCAGCACAGACATTTTAATAATTTTGTTCTTCCAATCCATGAGCATGGGACGTTGTTCCATTTCTTTGTGTCATCTTCAATTTCTTTCATCAGTGTTTTATAGTTTTCAGAGTGCAGATCCTTTACCTCTTTGGTTAGGTTGACTC